TAGCCAAAGAAAAATGTACAGATGCTTTTCTCCATTGAGTTTGTTAGTCTACAGCTCCAGAACCTCAGTGAAGTCTGATACCAGCAGTGTTTTTCTCTCAAAATAAGGTTTCACAAAGCTAAAACAACAGACATTTTTTTATCAAACTCTTAACTGAACAGACACAAAGAAGTGTCTTAGTGTTCAGAAAACTGGCTTCATGCCACCATTTGTTGCTCGGTGCATGGTGGCCCACTGTATCAGAGCATGAGCTGAAAATGTGTCTCAGGCTTACGGTGAATTTGTGCTGTGAGTGGATGTTTAATAAAAACAGTTGTGCGTTTTCTTACGTTTGTATGAGCCAGCGATGCCAGACTGTGTGAGGCAGCGCTGCAGCTCGTCCACTGAGATCTGTCCATCCTGTCAGGGTTTCAGAAAAACAGAAAGAGATGCACTATGCCACAAAACAATTCGATAACAATCAGCAAACTGCACAGAGGTCTGACAAACATCAATACCCCAATATTGAATTACTGCAGTTGCTCGTATGGTTTAATCTTGTGGGGGTGTGTTACCTGTCAGCTACGCTGAGAAAAGATGCCATAGAGCGGATCCTGATGCTGCAGAAGAGAGAGAGAAGATGAGACGAGGAGAGAGAGGAAAAAAACAATAAAGTCTGCATTTCATTTCCACTCTAAACATGATTCATCCCTGTAGCTGGTTGTGCCACAGTCTGAGAGTCTTAAACCATAAAGTAACCTCCCAATCAGCAAGAGTATGGAAGGTCTTCAATGTACAGTGGTTACCAAAAATATAAACCTCTTGAAGACGCACATTGCCTTAGTAAAAGGTTCAATACCACCCAGACAGAAAGAGCAGACCCTCCTGCACACTGGCATCATGATGAAGGTCTACTTTGTGGGTTTAAATGAAGAAACCGCTTTCAGGAAGCTTTGTTGCCTTTCTGTTATCATCTTTCCTGTTACCTAACAGGGATCCAATGCAGGGTGCAGGCATCTGTGTGACAGTTCAATCTGATCTTTGTGCAACATTTGAGTCATTCACTTTATCTCCAATAAGGCTGCCTAAATGCTTGTTCAAGTACAAACTCTATTCCTCGCATATATCTGCCAGCTGCATGAATTTACAATGTCCACCAGCCTCGACTCGTGTGTGGTGATTCGTGTGTGTGATGGTGTGTGTGTGTGTGTGTGTGATGGTGTGTGTGTGTGTGTGTGTGTGTGTGTGCCCCACCCTTCCTCACCCCAAACTTATTGTAATTCCACCGTAAACTGTGCAAACAATAGCTTGCCTTAGTGCTAAAGTATCGGCTAAAAAAGGTTGACAGACGATTCCAACAGTCAAAGAATTTAAGGCAAAACAAAATACAAAAGCAACATTGTTAGAAGGTTTCCTAGAAAACAAAATGGGTGCTGTGCTGTAAACCCGCAAGGCCACCAACATTTACATTTTTGAGGGACTACAATGCTACTTCTGCTACTTTATACTACAATAGATTCTCAAAACTGTAGTTAAAGCTGCACTTTTTGTCATGTCAAAACAACCAATCAAAGCCGAGGATGCGAGAAAGACGCTTTGGGTTGGAGGCCTGAAGATAGTCTCACCCCAGGGTCCCAAAGTGTTCCTGGGAATGAGACAATCAACTATGTTTCTCGGCTCTGATTGGTTGTTTCCATTCAGGCCCTGCCAGAGGAAGCTTCATGTCGTACACAGACTACTACTCGTGTACTGCTGACACTATATAGTGAAAGCTTCAGTTTCAATGACTTACTGCAGCTTTAAGCACAGTTAATATATTTATTTGTTGTGTTGCTATTTTCACTTCAGTAAAATACTAGAACACTTCCTCCACTACTGGCACAACAACAGTATAACCTTAAAAAGATGAACTTTATAAAGTTAAATAAATGTCCTAATGTGAAGTAAAGAGCACTTCATGCTCAGTTGTATTAAATCCTTCCTGTTTTCTGCACATTGAAGTCAGTGAACAGAGAATAACACCTGCAACCTGCAACCTGCAGCTTTTATACTTCATTTCATTCACCTCGACCGACTTCCGCACTGTTTGTCCCCGGGACGGTGGTCGACATGTTCAGATACATGTTTGTGTCACAGTTTAACGTTAACTTACCGGTGCTGGAGCTCCACCGGGGCCGGCGCCGTATCCTGGGTAAGCCATCTGTTCTAAAGCCTCTGAAACGGGGAAGACTGCTCGGGATCTGCGCTGCTGTTGTAACCTCTGAGGGTGTGACTGTCCGCTAATGCGCACAAACACCGACCACCGAGGAAACCTGAGGTCATAAAGTGTTAAATACCCTGGAGGCTGCTGGTTGCGAACCCTGGTTTAACCCGGGATCAATCGGGACAAGAGGAAGCTGCAGGAAAGGTGAAATGTTTGAGATGGTTGTTAAATGTCCCGTTTCCTCACCGCTGCACTCTGATTGGCTGCGAGTGACCACGTGGTTCTAATAGACCAATCAGATCACAGAGCTGGATAGGAAACATTAAAAAAAAGCCTTTCCAGTAAAAACAACAACACACAACAATAAACACAAACAGACACACACTGGCCTTCTACAGAGCACAGGCCAGCTGTAGCTTCTGTTACTGACTACAAGCTCTTATTACACAGTATGGGATACAAATAACACAATAATGCACCATTTATGATGTCAATGTAAGGGTAGCCCCACCTTAAATAAGTTATTAATGACTCATAATGCGGTTACAAGTTTGTTTACATTCATTTGTATGACTGTTGGTACAAAAACAGCTTATATTTATTATAAACTCCACTAGAGGAAAAACACAAAATGCAGATTACACTTTTACGGTCCCAACAGTTACCATAATGTGTGTTTTACCTTCCTTACAGACAGCCAATCAATCTGCAGAGACTATACTGCTTCATAGTTTGTGCAACACCTTTGTGGTTGGCAGTTATGTGGCAGTACTGATTTACTGGATATCAGCTGTTCCCAGCCACATAAAAATCCTTCACAATGAATATGCCTCCTTATTAATAATGAACAAATGCCTTTTCAATAATAGGGAAACCTATGAATGAGCTTTCAATGAAAATAAACCAACAAACAAGCGTTAGTGCTATTAATGCAAACGTTTTTGCTTGGATAATGATAACCTAAGTTGAAACTTTTTGTTTTTAATATTCACTCAAATTAGGCTCCAGAATGCTTAAAATCAGCCTCAATCAGAAAAGGAAAGGACTGGCTGACAATATCTGTTATTATTGAGGAGCCAGTCCCCACAACCCTGAGGAACCCTGGTGATCTGAATAACTGTCAACTCAGAGGAATTTCACATTCAGCTAAAGTGAACCTTTAACATTAGAACATAACAATATGAAATATATGATCGGGGGGTTAATGTGAAATATATTTCATATGTAGTAATTGTCTTAATACGTGAAAAACACAGGCATGATCCTTTAATAGAAAGCATTACATCAGTACCTGAGACAAGCTGCCCAATCAGCTTGCTCTCTATAGTGACTCATACAGTCCCGCTGCGTCCAGCTCTGGTCCAGAGAAAACCCATCTGATGCTCCGTCTTTGATTTCAGAGGCAGAGCTGAGAGGAAGAGGAGGGCAGGGAGACCGCACACACTGGTGGAGGGAACTAAGGATCGAGCTCGGGCCGGGATGCACAGACTGAATCCTGACTGTTGGGTTTGGTCACCAAGACCTCCTCCGTGTCTCATTCCTCAACATTCAGGGAGCTTCACTTCGGCCGTGCTGAGACACCAAGAGGAAGAGGAGGAGGAGGAGGAGGAGGAGCAGGAAGAGGCAGGAGAGCATCCTGCTGTTTGCTGCTACACTACAGGTAGGTTAGTTAAATGTTATTGATGTTTTGTGATTGTTTCGGATGCTGTTATGTACTTATGTGTGACTGTCTTATATCTCTTTTATTTTCTTCTGCATCTTCTGATCTCAGTGAGACTACCTGATTAAATAAAGGTTATAAAAATGAACTTGTTGATCCTGTTCAACAACCTCCCACTCCCTGTCCCGCTTCGTGTACATGCATGTTGTGTGTGTGTGTGTGTGTGTGTTGCCAGTATATGCAGATGACTGGTGACTACATTCCCAGTCCAAACCCAGCGGGTCTCATCAGCAGGTGCAGGAAACAGACGGATCAGACATATGATTCAGCCATGACGTGCAACTCGAAGCCAAGCCCCTGCATTAATGCATGTTTGGACTGTTAAAGTGGGAATAAAAGGCCTTTTTATGGAGAATAATGATGATTTATTTTAGATTCTGCAAACTGAAATACAGAGCCATCCTTAATTAATTTCCCCCTGGGATTATTAAAGTATTTCTGATTCTGATTCTGATTAATAAGCTTTACCATTTTATTTATCATCACTTTTAAGACAAACTAATATGGGATACTCGTTTCGATACTTGAATATCCAAATGTACGTATACAGAATACACTTCAGGACTCCATTATCTCCATTTTTAACCTGAAGTGTCTTCTGATTGATGTTTTATATAATGAATGTTCCTGTTTTCCTTCATGTGTCTGCTTTGTCCCTGCGTAATGTACTTCTTTTACTGTCTTTTTATTTTGCAAGTCATTGTGTTGTATTTATGTTTTATTTAAGATGTTCATTTGACATTTTTTATTATATATTCTCAATATATAACTGATTCTGATAAAGTATTTGCAGGGCACTGTTGTGAATGAGAGCTTTGCAGGGTTTTTTTCTCTAAGTAAATAAAGGTTTCTATCCAAATAACAGCATGCCAGGTTGACCTAACACTACCTGGCAATGATAACTCTGCCTCTTTTATGTCTGTGTGTTTGTTTCCTATTTTTCATGCATGTTTTATTCTTTTTTGAACAAAAAAATGCAATAATAGTATATATATTTCTTACAGTGAAAACAAATCCAATCAATATACTGTTTGACCTTACATGGGAAGAGGTGAATTGTAAAACACTGTGAATAAAAGCACCTTTGAAATGCACTCCATTTTTCCGAAATAATATAAATTGTTCACCATTACTGGATGACAATGCAAAAAGGGTTCCTAAAAAAGGCAGAACCAAACTAAATGAACAATGTATATCAATATCTGTCCTGAATGTTTTAAAATACATCTTAGTTGTTTTAAATGTAGCTTATAAGCTCAGAGGATATGCCCTTTATATTGTTAGCTATCAGTAACTGATCACTCTGCTTCTCTCCTGATGCTGCAGGTTGTGATCGTGTCATCAGACAGGCTGCTGATGCTCAGTGGTCCTCCTCCGAACCTGCCACCCACTCAGGGATCCCCAGCAGCTCAGGCCTGGCTCGGCGGGGTCCAGGTGCTCCTTCCTCACAGCATCCAAAAACACTGATCCATGCCGATGGGGGAAACGAATCGCGGCATTTCGTTGGTGGTCATTGCTGGGGTCATCCAGGGATGGAGACCCGGGGATGTGTATGTGTTTATGGGCAGAGGGAACCAGAAGGTTTGGGTCCCAACTGGCCTGGATCTCCATATGTCTACTATGGAGGTGAGTGTTCACTGGATGATCTCCAAACTGTTCTTTGTAAATCAGGTTTTTATATCTTAGCCTATTTAGGGGAAATAAAGATTAACATGTTCCATCAAGGCAATTATAGGCAGGCACAAAAATAAAATGCTATCAAAATAAATGCTGCTATTTTAGTTAAAGTTAGAATGTAGTTAAACCTTGTGCTCAATCTAAAAACCTCTTAAAATGAAAACAATATTTGCATTAATTATTAAATAGCCGCCTGACATGTTTTTTGTTTTTTTTTGGATAAGATATCAGTTAATCATTGCTATCAAATAAAATGCTATTTCATGAAAATAAAAGAGTTGCCACAAAGGCCTTTACATAAATAATATCATTACCTCTTATCAATGCAATTCAACGTTTATTTCTTTGCAGACGATACAATTTTATGTGACGCTGGTGAAACTCCAGCCCAAGCTCTGTCTCATCTCCTGTCTGCCTTTGATGCCTTCCAACTATCACTCCTTAATCACAGACTAGTCTTAAATGCAGAAAAGTCCAAATATATTCTCCACCTCCACCAGAGTCTGTCTTCCTCCAATTAATCTCAATGAGACTGCCTGATTAAATAAAGATTTTTAGAAAGTTATTTCTGGAATTGCTGATTGAAACCAAAAGGTGAATCAGCAGGTTTCTCAGCATCTGGCAGAAATGGAGATACAACACAGAGCTAAGCAATGGCAGGGGCTTTGGAGCAAAAACTTTAAACCAGTTAGATGTTGTGGACATCTTCAGTATCTGAATAACGTGGAGGTTACGGGCAAATGCTTATAACAAAATGCATGTGTTTGCTTGATGCAGTGAGGAGGAACCTGGTGGTTGGAGTGGAGGTGGTGGAGGAGGTTGCTGTTGAAGACACTCTGGAAGTAATGTAAGTACTATATTAATGATTCCGACATTTAATCGCACCACTAATGCAACTGTTCCCTAACTCTATTAATTCTACTACTTATTTTTTGTATTTTTCTCTTCTCAGAACAGAGGACATATATACAGATGATCTCCTGGATCCGGAGCTGCTGCAACACACCCAGCTGTACCCCACATGAGCCCAGAGTAACTTCCACTGTGTGCACTGTTAATGAAGATATCATTCTAATATATTTGTCAAATGTGTTGTATTTTGTATATTTTTGCCTACTATTGTTGTGTAGGTGTGTTTTTGACATGCTGTTTGTCTTTTTTATTTATAAATGAATACCACTGTCAACTTTGATTAATAAGATTTACATAATCAAACAAAAAAAATAAAACTAATAATTATGACTTGTTATGACTTGTCCTTATTTAAAAAATATATAATATAATATAATATAATATAATAATATATAGTGCTTACAGGTGTAGTAGACTTGACAACATCCATCAACTGGTTTGGATTTGTGGATATTGGAGCATAATTTAATTAATTAATTTAATTCACAGATTAAATAGTAGATCTGTTTTTGTTTTGTTTTTAGTTTCTGTCTACTTCTTTATTTATTTCTGTTATTTAAAGATCGGGTTCTACATACTCCGGTACTCTGGGTGGCGGTATGCAGCTTTAATCCTCCAATAAATACAAAGAAGAGGAAGATTACGTTATAACATCTCGTCAAACATGGCGGTCGCATATTCAGGGAAAACAAAACACTGATGATTTCGGGGCAAACTCTCGTCTTATTTGGATAAAAATCGTAAAATGTCGGAAGTGTTAGGAACACAAACCGTTGAGGACCGACTGGAGCGGCTGAAGGAGCTCACAGAGTTCACAGAAAACTGTAAGAAACAGCTCGACGAGATATTCACAACGCTGGGATGGTCTCCAGACTACAATGACTCCAACCATGTAAGTTCATTTTACTTTAGATTTTATTTTTATTTTTTTATTTGCTAACATTTGCCATTAACGGTATTTAATGAATACAAAACATAGTGTTATTTTTAGCTTTAATCAGCCTAATGTACCCCTTTAAAGATGCTGTAAGTTCCCATCATCTAATGCAGTTTTGTTGTGGTATAACAGTAATGTTAAATGTGTTGTATTTTCACTGTTTGCTGCTTGTAACTTTGTAATCTTTGTTTTTTTTTCTTTGTATTTTATGCCTGTTTATACCTGTGCTCCTTCCAAATGCTAAAATCCATAATTTAACACATTATGTACCTATCAACTTTTATTGTATAATCACAGCGTTTTTCCACACATATGTTTTATTTTAATAGTCTAAAGGAATTGTGCAGTTTGAAATACAAATGGATTTAAACGTGTGTTAATATGACCACACATTAATTCTCAACATACAGACAATCCTTGCCTGGCAGTGATGTGTGTGTGTGTGT